GTTTATATTGTATATAATATGTAATATTTAATCGATATTAACATCTGTATATCATTATAGTTTTATATGTATTTATGTATCTGTATGTTCTTTAGTTCTATTTAAAAGTGTATGGAGTTGTATAGTTGTATAATTCTATCTATTTCGAGAGGGAATGCATATTTTTTTATTTCTGTATGTGTTGTATGCTTGTAGTAGTATGTAATAAATTAAGTTGTTAAATACCTAATTTATCTTTGTGTATAGTGAATTGTTGTAGAGGTCGGCAATAAATTTTTATTAGCAGAAGTTTGTATTTGTATATATTTACATACCCTTGTTGTACTAATGGAATAAATTCCTTTTTTTAATCTTAACTGAGATTTGTGCAGTTCTGTATTGGCAGCACAGTGTAGCAATTTGTAATAAATGACATTTTCCAACTGAAATCGATTCTTGTGTATTTGTCGATCAACAGTGCAGCTGTAGCAATCTGCAAAAATTACATTTGTCAGCTGAGATGGGTGTTGTGTGATTTGTGATATTTAAAGCAATGAGCAGATGTACAGGTGATGATGCTGGAGGATTTTGGCCATGAAAATCTCCAGCCATGCCCAGCACATGCCCCCCGTGCACTCAGGCTGGCTGAGGAAAGTGCAGATTGGGGATGGCAGCAGAGCCACACATTTGCTAAGAACTCCCTGCAAAGCCTGCTGAGAAAACTCTGGGACTCCACTGAGCGTAGAATTCCAACCACGAGCCACCCAGGGAGGACAAATGCACCCCCCATCCCACTGGCAACTCTTCAGGAAGCGCTCCAAGTGTCCCTCTGAAGATCATCCAGGACACCAGGAGCCAACAGGGATCCTGAGCCAGCTCTGCTGCCTTTGGCAGCACTTTGGCAAACGAGCCAGAGCAAGGGGGAGACAACAATGACTGAAACTGCTGCAGGCTGGGGATGAAGGAAGGGCCAGGGACACAAGTGCTGAGATGTCTCAAAATCCAGGAGAACTGGGAATCACCAATGTCACAAGCACGGAAATGATGGATGCCCTTTATGTAAAGTTCCCTGGAGGAGCTTCCAGGGCAGTTGCTGCTAGGAGCAGCAGTAGCCAAAGACAGCAGGAGCTGCACATTTTCCTGGGTCTGTGTCCAGGCCCCAGGCTCTAAGAGCCCTTGCTCCCACAAAGCCCTTGCCCACGGAGGCTGCAGGGTAAAAGCAATCCCATTGCCAAGACAGGCTTTGCAGCTGAAGTCCACTGCCCTTGCGTTTAGGGAATTAATGATGCCATGTAAAGCACAGCAGCTGTGCTGCAGGGCCCTCACAGCTGAGCGTGCTGCTGGCCCACCTGATGTGCCTGTAACACACAAAAAAAGGACAAAGTGATCTGATTATAATTTTAGTACAGCTCCTCCTGGATCTGATGGCACACTTCCTGACCAGGAGGGCAAGGCCTTGGCCAGAGCCCAGGCCTGGGCTTGGAGGGTTTTCTCCTAAAATACCCTACAAAGATGCCTCTCTTCATGTCAGTTGGGAAAGCTTCCTGAAGTGATACATTTCTTCCAGGTAACTACACAAGGCTCTACAGAGCTAGCATAAGCATCTTGGTAGTCTACTTTTAGCTAAGTACTGATGGTGCTAACGACACTATCCAGGATTAATCAGGTAAATCAGCTCTGGCTCAGGCCTGCTGCTCAGGTCTCCACACATCAGATACTGAATACAGAGAAACTTTTGATAAAGGTTGTCACCCCTTTACTTCTTTTAGCCCAGTACTTCTAGTCCTGGTAAATTCAAATGCTTTCCATACATTCTTGAAAAACACACCATCTAAAATTTTCCCTGTTTCTCAGTGTTTGAATTCTACTATCCACAGAGAGAAAATCAGTCACTTCCAAAATGAGCTTGAAATAAGCTATTCTTTTAAAATAAAACCAAGACTTTTTTTCTCGCTGAGGGAGGAGTTTCCAAAACTCCTGTGAAACTAATGCAGATTGTTTGAAGTATCCATTTCCTGCCAACCTAAGCAGCGTGCATCCAAAGCTCAGTTTCAGTAGAAGAGTGATACAAGAGTGACCAGGGAAGGACAGAGGGGCTTTGCAGCTCTGCTGGGGCTGTTCAGTCCAGACTGCTGTTCACAGCTGTAAAAGCAACTCTTGCTGCTGTAGCAAAGCTGTTTGAAGATGCAGTTTGTTCATGAGCCTGGTCCTGCTTGTGATGAAGAAGAATTTGTACCCTAAAATCTACCAGCAGCATTACCAGACCATTCTTTAGCCAACTTGCTGCCAGAACCTGTAATCCAAGGAGCAGCTTGCAGTGAAAGGGGAGCAGGTTCTACTTTCATTCCTTCCAACAGCTCTTACATCATGGCAGAAACTCTCAGCATCCCAGGTTCCCCTTGGAAAGGTAGGATGCCTTCCAAGCGCTCCTTCTCACTTTTCAGGATTCTTCATTCATATATTCTGAACGTTTTCACCAAGATAATAATGAATAGTGTAAGGGCCTGTGATGAACTCCTTTCTTATTATCTGGTATTTCCTGCAGGGAGGGGATGGAGGAAGGCAGGAGATTCCATGCTTCAGGGAAGGGACACCCAGGAGACAAACCTCTGACAGGGGCACCTTCCATGCAAATTAAGTTTATGGGAAAACACTACACCCTAGGAAGCAAAGTTGCAAATCAACAATTTCCCACTTTGATTTTAGGAGCAGATTTTAAAAGCAGCCTTCAAGCACAGGGAGCACTGAGACTCTAAGCCACACCACATCCCTGCCAAAATTCCCAGCAGCCATGACAAAATTACTACAGAAATAATACAGCATCCTGGCCCTCCTGTTGTATGGGAGGACAGATAGTTACCAGAGACAAGAGAACCTTGAAAATAAAGAAAAATAAACCAAACAACAGCTTTAATAAGAACTTCTGCATAACAAGATTAATCTTTGTGGAGAAGTTGCAGCAAAGGAACTGCTCGAAGTCCTTTTCTGAGAAGGACAATGACAGCAATGCCTCAGCCTAGGGGAAGGTGAGCACATCAACCAGGGCTCATCAGTGGAACGCTCTTTTCTAAGGGTCTCCAAGACCTCTCCTTTCTCCTCTTTCGGATATTTAGATGTATTTGTTTGGGGAAGGGAGGATGTTTCCTAGTGCACCAGCCCTCAGGGGCTCTTGCCCTAACTCAGGAAGATACACAAGGAGTCTACAGATTCAATTCCTTGGCCTCTATTTGGCCTGCTAATTGGAAAACTCTTCCCTCCCAGGAGCAATGCCATCCCTTGATGGGATTTAATTAGCACCCAAAGCAGAGCCCTCAGATAAAGCTCTCATTGATCTCTGCTGCAGCTCAGCTTCCATCCCAAGGCAGCACTTCAGATGCACGTTCCCACCTTGGCAGAGTGAAAGCGAGGGATGGGAAATTTCCTCTCGGGCACAAAGAGCACACAAAAACTGAGGGCAAGACCAAAGGGACAGGGCCAGGAAAGGAAGCAAGATCCAGAGCGCGTTTCTCTCAAGACCCTGAACGCACCTCCCAGAGAACACTGCAGCTCAGGCGGCAGAAGCTGCCAGAGAGGGAGGGAGGCTGGCTCAGCACAGCAGAGGCTCTGGGAGCGCCTCAGCCGATGTAGATCCTGTGGAAGTCGTTGGCCCCGAAGGCCGCGTTGCACTTGGGGCACTTGCGCTGCCGGGTGTCGTAGCGCGTCTTCACGCACTCGAAGCAGAAGACGTGGAAGCACTTGGTGAGCACCGCGTCCTTCTTGCGCATGTTGCAGCACGGGCACGTCAGGCGGGCCTGCAACACACACACACACACACACA